GCCGGCAGGATCCCGTCCGACGAAACAAGGGGGGGGTCAAGGGGAGGTTTTCTTCCCCCTGGGGAGAAATGTCCTATGGGTTTTTGGATCTGCGATATAAAAAAGTCTTGTCTCGGTCACGTGATGTGTCACGTGACCGGTCAGGTGAGCCTGTCAGCCGGGTCACGGCCCCTGTCAGCCGGCTGACATGTCACGGGCCTGCTGACACGGTCCGCTGACCGGTCACGGCCGCCCGGAGAGATCGGGCCCCCGGCCAATCTCCGGACACTTAGCCTCCTGGCGGGCCTCCAGGGGGTCTGAGGCGGGGCTGAAGGCTGCAGTCGGTCTACTGACGGGCCCGGCCGGCAGGATCCGTCGAGAAACAGGGGGGTCAAGGGAGGTTTTCTTCCCCCTGGGAGAAATGTCCTATGGGTTTTTGGATCTGCGATATAAAAAAGTCTTGTCTCGGTCACGTGATGTGTCACGTGACCGGTCAGGTGAGCCTGTCAGCCGGGTCACGGACCCTGTCAGCCGGCTGACATGTCACGGGCCTGCTGACACGGTCCGCTGACCGGTCACGGCCGCCCGGAGAGATCAGGCCCCCGGCCAATCTCCGGACACTTAGCCTCCTGGCGGGCCTCCAGGGGGTCTGAGGCGGGGCTGAAGGCTGCAGTCGGTCTACTGACGGGCCCGGCCGGCAGGATCCGTCGAGAAACAGGGGGGTCAAGGGAGGTTTTCTTCCCCCTGGGAGAAATGTCCTATGGGTTTTTGGATCTGCTCTAGGTTTTTTTTTCTTTTATTAGTATATTATATATTATATATATATTATATTATATATATTATATTAGTACTATATATATTACTTAATGTATATAGTACTAATTAGTACTCTGTGATTCTCTGTTACACTTATACATATAGTACTATGTAGTACTAATGTATATAGTGTAACAGGGTTTAACACAGTACTAATTAGTACTATACATATTAAGTAATATATATAGTACTAATATAATATATATAATATAATATATATATAATATATAATATACTAATAAAAGAAAAAAAACTAAAGAAAAAAAAACTCTTGCAGTCCTTCCAAAAATTTTGCCAGCCCCCCCCCCTCTCATTCTGGGAGCCCGGCCCTAAAAGTCCAATTATAAAATTAGTCAATTTAGTACCAGTCAGTACCCCACCCCTCATATTACCATACATCCGACTACCCGTGGTTCCTTTCCCACTCTATAAATTCCCGCCCGCCTGCCCTTCATTGTATGCCCCGAGCATGTCGATGTATTACAGCGATGACGGTGTGATACAGGATGGTGATACACTGGAGGAGGTACAGGAGAAAGCCAGGAAGCACGGCAGAGCGATTGCCATGGACTTCCTAGGTACCGCTGTCAGGAGGCAGGTTCCGTGTGAGATCAACCGGTGCAGATTCTTCTTGGAGCAGTACGAACGTAACATGCGAGAGGAGAAGAACGCTTCACTTGTTCGACTGTTCCGGATGAAGATTACCATGTTTGCAAGCATCATCGAGACGCTGCGCATCCACATGAAGGACGCACCGGAGATCGGGCCTGAGTACCGCGCGCCTGAGTACCGCGATAAGGGCCGGGGAGGAGAATACAGTATGCGTGAGAGAGAGATAATAAGAGAATGGGAGAAAGGGAGACGCGATGAGTGCATGGTACAATAGCTTCTCCAATAAAGTTATGTTGTAATCACCCCTGTCTACCACCCGTATCGCAAGGGTGTTTCACCACCCCTCCATTCGACCTGTGCCTACACCGGTCGTATACGACCTGCTTTCCCGCGCATTTGCCCGTCGCGGGAGAACGGAGGGGGGGCGATGCAGGGAGCGGAGGGAGCGACGAGGGGGAGCGCAGGGAGTGTCAAGTACGTCAGCTCTCTGACCAGCAAGTGTTTCCGCTCGCACGACGTGTGTGTGATGTGCGGGGTGCTGCTGGCGAACGACGAGGGGCGGAGGAGCAAGACGGTGCGGACGTTCCTGGGGATGCTGGAGAACCGCTGGCGCAAGACGCCGTACATGTGGGCGGTGCTGAACCAGCTGGTCTCCTCCGCCGCCTCCCCGAACGAGCGGCTGACCGCCTGCACGGCCTGCATCAACTGGATCCGCCGCTCGGTGCCGAGCAACGAGCACGCGGAGTGCAACATGGGGGAGCACAAGGTGTACCTGCTGATCGACCGCCTGATCGGCTTCTCGCTGGCGCCCGGGGAGGTGGCCTGTCCCGACATGCGGAACATGCGGCGCCTGGTGTCCAGCCTGCTGGAGGAGCGGGTGGTGGACGGGCAGGTGGTGCGGAACTACTACCTCGCCATCCTGCCCGAGCACCTCCGCCTCGCCCTGCAGGAGAGCGGGGGCGACGTGAACCAGTGCATCCGGCGGGTGGTGCTCCGCTGGTTCAACGACGTCAACAACCGCTCCCCGATCTTCCGCCACCCCGACACGGCCTACGTGGTCAGGAAGGCCCTCGGGTGGACGGGCGACCCTCTCCGGGAGGAGGAGGAGAAGGGGGAGGGCGCGGAGCAAACGGCCGATGAACCCCAGACCCCCGGCTACACCCAGACCCCGAGTGATGCCCAGACCCCCATGTACGAGATCGTCGATGATGACGAGGAGGGTTCGGGTGAAGAATAGTGAGTGTTTCAGTGTGCTGATTTGAATAAACGTACATAAGCGAGAGTGGTGTGTGGGTTCGGGAGATGGGGGTCTGTGGCATGATGGGATCGGCTGGGATCACCGCCCTGAAGGGCCCGGCGAGCCAGCAGGTGGTGGGCAACTCCCTCGTGTACACGCTGGAGGTGGAGGACCGCGGGAGGATGGCGGAGAGGCTCTCCGAGCTGGAGGATATCGTGCGGCTCGAGTCGCTCTCGGAAAGCCCGCACTGTGGCGCGCTGCAGTCGGCGAGCTACAAGGGTTTCCAGAGGGAGGCGCTGGCGTGGGCGAGGGGGTACCGCCCCGTGCCCCCCGGCGGGTGCCACTTCCCCGCCAACCTCGGCTACGTCACTTTCATCGGCGGCAGGCTCAGCTACATCCTCCCGCTTCCCGATGCGCCGAAGGGAGAGCCGGTAAGAAAGAGGCAGTTTCTAGAGATGGAGGACGACGGGGACTGAGTTCGGTTTGTTTGTTCAACCTTATTTAACCCAAGTGCGTGTGGTTCAATAAAGATGGAGGACCGATACTTGAACAGGTTCACTTCCTATATTGCCAGTGCGCTACAAGTCGATGTTGGTAAGATTAAGGAGTTTCTGCACGATCCTAGAGGAGAAGATGCATGGTATTCGACCTTTTCCAATGTCGTGTGGTCAATTGAAAACATCCAGAATTTAGCCATTGCGGTGGTAGATGGTGCGTACCCTTACATCAAGGGCAAAAAGAAGTCCTATGATGGTACTGTGCAAGATCGAGTTCTGCGTTCTTTAATATATACAAACGTGAGAGGTATGGTCAATACTCTTTACAACGACAGAAATCAAGAAAAGATAGTGAAGGTCTTGCAGGATGTATCAATCATTCCTGCCCAGTATTACATCTATTCAATCGTCGGGGCTATCGCCATGCATTTTCCTGGAGTTTGTGAGCGGGTCGATCCCTTGGAAAGACACGTGGATTCCATCCTCAAGTTGCTACGGAAAGATGATTCTCCGAACGCTGCAGACATGGAGAGAGCCGAGTATCTTTTCGGTATCATTCGGGAAATTATTTGGAATGATTTGCGGGTCGATCAGCACAAATTACTTACACTGTTGCTGCTGTTCATGAATAAGAATAGGGCGAAGATAGGGATGGAACCCATACAGTTAAAATCCAGCGGGAGCAGTATCCTCCCGCGTGTCGGTGCCCGCATCCCCCTCCGCGCCACCGCCAGCGAGGGGGAGGTGAGGGCGGTGGAGGGGGCTAAGCTGCCGTTCGTCGGGGCGCTGCAGATCGTCTGCCGGCGCAAGGGCCTGGAGCACAACATCATCGAGCACGCCATCGCCTGGGTGAGCTGCAGGAACTCGTACTCGGCGGTGCCCATGGGGGGCGGGGTCTTCCTGGTGTCGGGCGACCTGGCGACTGCGGAGCTGCAGCACCTGCAGGTGATGGCGGTGGCGGCGGGTCCTTCGGTGGCGAAGCTGGTCAGCATCGGCGCCCCGCCCAACGTCAAGGACATCCACATGGGCACGGGGAGGCTGCCGCTGCGGGCGGTGCTGGAGATGGCGGTCGGCGGGGAGGCCCTGGAGGAGGGGGAGTCGAGCAACGGCTTCATGAGCGTGGGGTTCGACCCCGTGCAGCCCGACGTGGAGATCGTGGTGAGGGCGGTCCCGCTGCCGGGCGGCCTGGGGGGCAAGTTCTCCGCGATGAACCGGACGGCACTGGGGGAGTACCGGAGGATGGAGGATAAGCTGATCCCCATGGGGCAGGACCGGATCAACCGGTACAACATGCAGCAGAACGTGGTGGCGCTTAACTTCTGCCAGGAGATGGAGCGGCGGGGCATCAAGCGGCACCCGGAGGGGGTGATGTCGGGCCTGTTCGTGAGCAGCATCGGCAACACGCTGGTGGACGTCCTGACCAACATGGACGTTATCATGCAGGAGAAGATCCGTATCTCGAGGACGACGGCGCTCGACGCCTTCGGCATCACGGCGCTGCTCTTCCGGATGACGGGGCTTTCGGCCCACGACCGCGTCGACGAGAGGGTGGCGGCGGACTGCCTCGCCAATGTCGGCGGGCTGTTCGCCTCGGACCTGACCTACGCGAGTGACGTCAAGCCCCTGCTGCCGGAGAAGCGCCCGCAGGACCTGAAGCCGCTGCTGGACCGGAGTGATGGTGAGGAGGAGGTGGTCGTGGTGTACGAAGATTCTGGGATGGGTTCTGGGATGGGTTCTGGAAGTTCCAGGGTCGGTTCTTCCATGAAGGCACTCGGGAGGGACGCCGGGGCGGACGCCCGCAAGAACGACCTGGAGACCGTCCCGGCCTACGCGATGAGCGAGGACATCATGGTCCCTTTCTCGGACATCTTCCTGCGGATGTCGCACGCCCAAGAGACGCTGTTCAACCACCTCAGCGACACGGAGAGGCGGGGGTACCTGGAGGGGCTGCGGAGCGGGGACTGCGAGGACCTCTCCCACATGGGCATCCTGGGTTTCAGCTACATGCGCCGCTTCTGTGTGCGGCTGAGCAGCAAGTGCGGGGTGATCTACGACGAGTACCCGGAGCTGGAGCGGATGACCAAGGAGGCGTTCGCGGAGGAGGTGTACCGCTCGATCCGGGCGCAGGAGGAGGTCAAGGACTGGACGGACGACGAGCTCCGGGGGGTGATCCGCCAGTGCGGCGAGTTCGGCGAGCACCTCCACGACACCTCGATGCGGGCGGTGCTGATGACGGCCAAGGCGGCGAAGATGTCCGCGACCGGCAAGCCGATGAACATGCCCCCCGCGGGCCACTGCGCGGCCATGATCGTCAGGGGGAGGAGCTCTGTGGAGGCGGCGGCGCGCTCGCGGCCCGAGACCAGCCTGACCTCCGGGATGGAGAACCAGCAGAGCAGCTACGACCGCATCCTCACCGAGATGACGACGGCGGTGAGGATCGAGAGCTTCGTCGGGAGGGAGGAGGTGACGGGCAAGCCCGCCTCGTACGTCTCGCAGAAGATCCGGGCGAACGGGGGCCTGCCCAACCCTTTGAGTGAGGCCACGTTCTACAACAAGTGCACGATGTTCATGGCGCCCACGCGGGAGATGAAGCCCTGGATGCACATCGGCAAGCTGGACGGCATCTTCTGGCATGTGGTCTCGACCATCGGGGACACCATGCTGCTGAAGCACTCCACCGTGGGCGTGCCGATCACCGAGGCCGTCAGCTCGACCGACAAGGAGCTGCGCGGGATCAAGGTCGACTTCACCGAGGCGGAGAGGCAGGAGACGCTGATGATGGCGCGCTACGCCCTGCCCCCGATCGAGAGCAACACCGCGCTCATCGGGAGGAAGTTGGACCGCCCCCTCCCCCGGTGCATCTACGGGCCCAACACCATCCCCATCGGCTACATCGTGGAGAAGCGCGAGTCGCCGGAGATCGCCGCGTGGGTGGCGCAGAACCCCGCCCAGCGCTACCTCGTCAACCTCGGGAGCAAGACCATCGCGGTCCACCAGATGAACAAGTGCGCGATGAAGGGGCTGCGCGAGACGCTCATGAAGCAGGACAGGGTGAACATTGTGGATTCGGTCTAACGTTCAAATGAAGGTTTAATGAAATTTCCTTAAGGCTCTTCCTTGGGGTCCTCCCCGATCACGGTCGGGCCTTCGTCTTCCTCTCCTTGGGTGCTGTTGCCCCCCGCGTCCGGTGAGGGGGTGCTGTTGCTCGCCGTGTCCGGTGAGGGGGTGGTCTTACCTTCACTGTGGTCAGGTGAGCCCGGTGGGCGCGGCTGCACGTAGATCGGCATGGCGGGGGGGATCTGGAAGCTCGGCTCGGAGACGATGGGGAGGATGGGGCGAGGGGCGGGCATGGGCGGGCGGGGCGCCGTCCCGTGGTAGGAGGGTGGGGAGGATGGGGGGGATGCGTCGTTTGAGAGGGTGAAGGGAAACCAGGAGGATGCGAGCGCAACCAGGGAGAGGAGGGTGTGGGCGCGCATGGGTTGGGCTGGCTTGGTCTTTGGCCCTTAGGCCGGTTTTATATACGCACTAGACCCCCGTAAACGCACGCAGGATGCCGTCGCACACGGAATTGACCACGTCCACCACGATGCCGTAGAGCTCGGGGGTGAAGACGACGAGGACGAGGTCCTTGGGGTGGGTCCTGGCGTGCCCGCCCATGAAGGAGAGCGAGACCGGGAGGCACATGAGAAGCAGGTCCGTGGCGATGCGGACGATCGAGCCCCCGACGATGGTCCTCCTCCCGATGCCATCCAGCGTCTGGGAGAGGATGTAAAGGATGTGGACGTTGCAGAAGCAGCCGAGGAGGACGACCAGCGTGGGCTCCAGCGTTACCAGCCGCGCGAGGAGGGCCGTGTAGACCACCCACGCCTCCAGGAAGTGCATGATGTACTCGAAGGTCTTGCCATCGGTCGCGGACGTGTAGATGAAGCTCGGGAGGAAGGAGGCAACGAGGTGGAAGAGCGTCGCTGCCGGGTAGACGAAGGCCTGCAGGGCCGTCAGGCGGTACCCACCCTCCTCCCGGTCGAAGTGGAAGCCACCCAGGTCCAGCAGGGTCGGGAGGTAGTAGAAAGCCAGGCAGTAGCACTTCATCAGCGTCGGGCAGCTGTTGTGGAAGCAGGGCTTGCTGATCCGTGGCATGGCGCGCGGTGCCCTTACCCCCCCCTTCGCCTCCCCGCCTTTCTACCCACCCACCCGCGCAGTTTTTTTTTTGTTTTTTTTCAGGCTCTGACGTTAATGGTATCGAACTTTATTACGATGGGTACTCGATGAATTACTGCTGGTCGGTCAGCTTGGCTCGCTTGGGGGCGGATCGCAGCGAAACCAACACGTTTTCGAGGATGGACATAAACTTCTTCATCTCCTCCAGTTCCTCCTTGAGCTCGGCGATCTCTTGCTTGAACGTGGTAGCGAAGTACTCCGCCTCCTCTTCCTCTTTCAGATCCTTCAGACCCTCGATGGTGCTTTCCATTTTGCATTTGTCGATGATAAAATCGCAGGGAAAGAACAAGGATTTCGTGCTTCTGTCTGCAGCAATCACGCATAGTTTTTCGAGTTTTGTGATATCGTCGGAGTTCATAGAACCGAATTCGGAACCGATGAGCTGGTCAAGGGTGAAAAACTCAAGTGTACGTTTCACAGCTTTGGGCATTGTTGAAATGCTTTGGCGTGAAGTGCGTTCCTTGGAAGTCCTTAAATAAGCGGGGTGTGTGTGTTTTTTTTTTAATTTTTAGTAAGGTGATGTTTAGTGACTGGTTACATACTCTCGGAACATGAGCTCCTCCTGCCGTTCCTTCTCGTTTTTCAGGGTCTTAACGTGCAGCAGGTGGCCGACAAAGAACGAGCGCATTGGACTCTGTGGGTCTGTGCTCTCGATGCCGTTCAGCGCCATGATGGCCTCCTCGATGATATCCTTCTCCGTGGCATGGCACGGGATGTTGATCGGTTCGGACTCGGTGTTCTCGAGGTTGATGTACGTGTGAGTTGCTTCGTCGATGTAGAACATGATGATGTTGCAGGCGCCCGCTTCATGTGCTTTAAATAAAGGGGCGGGCGGCTACCTGAACTCGTAGTCCACCCCGTGCTTGCAGAGCTCGTCCTCCACCTCCTCCCTCACCCTCCTGACCATCTCCCTGTTGAACGCCTCCTTCCCGGGGCCTGGCTTGAATCTGCGGTGGTAGCCCGAGGCAATGCCCGTTGAGCACCGTGGCCATGCCACCGATCATGACGGAAGCGACATTGTCACCCGAGAGGTCGCTGGCGTAAGCCGTGCCGACAGAGATGCCCTGCATGCTGAAGAGGTAGGGGAAGACATGCTGTTTCTTTGCCTCGTCCCTGTATGAGATGTATTTGGTGATGTCATCGGGTGACAGTGTGCGGTAGTGCTCACGAATGCCCTGCTTCAGGCCTTGCGGGACCTTGTCTCCCAGGGTTGTGATGACCGATGGATATGCGAAGAGCTTGTAGGTCTCGTGGAACTCTCCCTTCTCGTTTATCCCGTTTTTTGTCATTCGGTTCACATTCAGCACGATCTCGTCCTTCATCATTGCGTAGCGGTATTTGTTCTGCGTCAGATCCTTCTCTGTGTTCCCCATGTCCGTGTAAAGGTCATGGTTCACCTTGCAGGCAACAATGTGCTTTGCAGATGAATCGATTCGTGTCCCTGTGTACTGTGCGATGCTGTGTGCCATCCCTCTCACACACACTCTCTCTCTACTTTGAGGTGTTAGGTTTATATAGCGCGAAAGGCAGCACGACAACGCACCGGTAAATGCTTTATTCGGCCGTGAAGAGAAAAACATGGTGTCATCATGTAGATGGGGTGAAAGACACAGTTTTTGAAAGTAGCAAACGTTTACTCTGACTCCTGTCGTGCAGTTTCTAGCAGTTCTGTCTAATTGCCGGTTTTCTGCTTCTTGATGTGCTTGTGGATCGTGTGCTTGGCCTGGCGCTTCTGTCTCGCGATGTTGGCGGCATGGCTCTCCTGGCTTTTCTGCAGAAGGAAGCGGAGGTGCGACTGGAAGGTTTTCCAGGCGTCGATCAGCTCAGTCTTCATTTCTTCAGCCTCCTTTTCCGCATTGAAGTATCTGACATACCATGGGTCTTGGGCCTTCTTGGTCCAATATAGCATCTCCTCTTCGTACATCTTGATGTGTTCGATGCGGTAGTCGAGGTGGAAGGCTTGCAATTTGCCCCGCAGAGTCAGCCAGAAGGAGTCGGGAACATCATCAATGTCAGCCACGTCGAGCACGGTGCACAGGATGACATACTGGTCGATAGGAAGAGTGAACCGTTTGGAAGCTTGATTGTTCACACTGTCCACGAACTGTTGGAATCGGAGATTCACAAAGAAATCTGACATCTTTGGATTGCATGGGGTGCCGTCCATTATTTTATATACTGTTTCATGAGCAAAGGGATTCTGCTCTTTTACCCCGCCACTGGATGGGCTCTATTTCCGGTCCCTCCACATTCCGAAAGTCATTCCTGATGGCACTTAGGCCGTAGACCCCGAGCAGTGTTCCGTTCCCGACGACGACGGTGGTGAGGGTGGCCTTGCGGTAGTACTCGCTGTCGTTCTGCAGGTTGGAGATGACGGTGTCGAGCGGGTGGACCTTGATGACATCGAGGGTGGTGTAGGAGCCGTAGGGTGCGCAGAAGTGGATGTGCAGCTGGAACACGCTCGGGAGGTAATGGATGTATGCCATGATGTTGTGCTTCTTCCATCCCGTGTTTGCCATGATGTATTCTATGCACTGCAGCCTCAGCCGCTTCAGCATGTTGATGTGCTCTCCGCGCAGATCGCGCAATGACCTGAGGCTTCGGTGCTTGACAATGGCGTGATGCGGTGGGCGTTGCTGTCCGCCTTGGGGATGTAGTTGTAGACCTTCTCCTTGAAGCTCGGCTGCAGGTAGTCCTTGAAGGGCGTCCCGTGCTTCCGGTCCTCGGATAGGATGTGGAAGATCTTCTCGAGGCTCGTAGATGGGATGAACTTCGATTCGATCGCCGGGCGGCCGTGACCGGTCAGCGGACCGTGTCAGCAGGCCCGTGACATGTCAGCCGGCTGACAGGGGCCGTGACCCGGCTGACAGGCTCACCTGACCGGTCACGTGACACATCACGTGACCGAGACAAGACTTTTTTATATCGCAGATCCAAAAACCCATTGGACATTTCTCCCAGGGGGAAGAAAACCTCCCTTGACCCCCCTGTTTCTCGACGGATCCTGCCGGCCGGGCCCGTCAGTAGACCGACTGCAGCCTTCAGCCCCGCCTCAGACCCCCTGGAGGCCCGCCAGGAGGCTAAGTGTCCGGAGATTGGCCGGGGGCCTGATCTCTCCGGGCGGCCGTGACCGGTCAGCGGACCGTGTCAGCAGGCCCGTGACATGTCAGCCGGCTGACAGGGTCCGTGACCCGGCTGACAGGCTCACCTGACCGGTCACGTGACACATCACGTGACCGAGACAAGACTTTTTTATATCGCAGATCCAAAAACCCATAGGACATTTCTCCCAGGGGGAAGAAAACCTCCCTTGACCCCCCTGTTTCTCGACGGATCCTGCCGGCCGGGCCCGTCAGTAGACCGACTGCAGCCTTCAGCCCCGCCTCAGACCCCCTGGAGGCCCGCCAGGAGGCTAAGTGTCCGGAGATTGGCCGGGGGCCCGATCTCTCCGGGCGGCCGTGACCGGTCAGCGGACCGTGTCAGCAGGCCCGTGACATGTCAGCCGGCTGACAGGGGCCGTGACCCGGCTGACAGGCTCACCTGACCGGTCACGTGACACATCACGTGACCGAGACAAGACTTTTTTATACCGCGTCTTGGGCTGGTAGCCGGGGGTCTTGGCGTTGGTCCAGCCGGCGCAGGGGATCTGGTCCGCCCCGGCGCTCGCCAGCAGGTCCACGTTGACGGTGTCGTCCAGCAGCACGCACTGGACCCACCAGGCGGCGGGGATCTCCATCTGCGACGCGTCGTTTGTAGAACAGATTGGACACCATGTCGCATATGGTTGGATGCATGCGGTATTGTTCTATGAGCATGGGCACGTGCCTCGATGCGGTGAGGCGGTGGAAGAAGCTGTTGAAGTTCTCGGCGTAGGAGAAGGCTGTCAGCTGGTTCTGATCGCCGATGGCCACCACTGCCTGTATGGGATTGGAGAGGACGAGGAACGGCATCTTGTAGTCTGGCATGACTCCTGCCTCATCGATTACGAGCACGGCGGGGTGTCTCACCTCGATTTGATAGACGGAGTCTACCGTGCTCACAAAGGCCCTGCATTGGTTGATGTATCTCTCCCTCGTTGTCTCGATCAGCTCGTCCAGATCCGTGCATGTCCTCTCGTACTCGGCGCGTAGGCTCTCGATGTCCATCTGCAGGGCCATGAAGGTGGATTCCGCAATGGCCTGCATGCACTTCCTCCAGTGACGACGGCCGAGGCCTCGCACTTTGTTCCGATTCTTGTACAGGTCTATCTCCATTCTCTGTGTGATCGCCTCAAGCTTGTCGGCCCGGTCCATGCAGGCCACCACCTTTGCATCGCGTATCACCCATGCGTCGAGCGTGTAATCTTTGCTCGCCGAGCTCAGCCTGTCTGGGTTACCATAGACGATGAAGATGAGGTCCTTGTCTTGCTGCAGCTTCAGGACTATGCTCTCGAGAGCCTTGTTCTGTATGCAAACGATGATGGCCCTGTGATTCAACGGGATGCATCCATGCGCGATGTGGTAGATGGTTGTTGACTTCCCCGTTCCTGGTGGCCCCTGTATTCCCTCGACCCGCCTTCGCATGCTAGTCACGGCGTCTGCCTGCCTGTCATTGATGGGGATGATTTCTCCGCTGATCTCCTTGCGGAACTGGAATGGGAAGTTGCCGTTCACCTCGGCGATGGCCTGCAGGATGGCCGGGTGCTGTGCGCTCTGCTGTGCGTTGAGCACGGCGACGAGGTCGTGAATGTAAGACTTGGCGTATCCCACGAGATGAACCCTCTGCGCACCTGCCCTCTTGAGCTCGGGCATGTAACCAGGGTCGTGGAATGACGTGCCCTCCTTGATCTTTGCGGTGCTCCTCTCGCGGTCCACCTTCAGGAGGCACCACCGATCCTCTACGAGGAATATGTTCCATGCAAACTCCGCTATATCCACCGTGTTTCCTTGCCTGTCGGTGAGGCTCACCACGCTGTCTTCGAACATCTGCATGTGCATCGGCTTGAGGCAGCGATCGCGCCATCCGCTTCCCATGGGCTTGACCGACGATTGGAACCAGCTCCAGATCTCCGCGAGGATGTTCTCCTTGCAGTCGCTCAGGTACGTCGCCACTGTGTAATTGGTCTGCATCGGGCGGCATTGATGGGGGCGGGGGAAGAGAAGGCAATTCGTAGCCTCCTTGAGACACTCCTTGGATTCATGGGTGTCCATCTCTTGTTCTGTATGTGGCACGGCAGGTGTGTTTAGCAGTGGTTTTGAAACCGGTTTATTCAAAAAAAAAAGAATACGGGCAGGCCTCTATGCTGCCTCCTCTCTGAAGCGCTTCTCATCCTCGTACTTTTGTAGCTTGCTGCTCATGATGGTGATCTGTGCCTTGGCAACAGAGATCCTCTCCTCGAGCACTGCCTTCCTATTCTCTAGCACCTCTGTCTCCAGCCTGGCAAAGGGGCGCCTTGGTTTGGCGGGCTTTGGCTCCTTGGCCTTCTTGCTCACGCCAGCGCCCTTGACCGACGTTGCCTTAGACTTCGCCTGCTTGCCAGCCTTCTTGCCAGCCTTCTTCTCCTTGTGCTCGTCACCGTTGTCCTCCTCGTTCTCCGCACCCTCGTCCTCCTCCATATCGTTATCGATCTCCTTCTCGATCTCATCATCGTCATTCAATCCATTCTTGTTCTTCGCAGGCGGCATATCCGCGTTCGTTCCAGAGTGCTGCGGTGCTTCAGAAAACGGTGCTACAGGAAACATTTTTTTTGCAAGTGTGGGTGCCTCTGAACCCAAAAAAAAACAAGCTCGATCCGTTGCATTAGAAGGTTTGCTGCTCCGCCCTAGCAGGGAATGGGTGAGCGCTGCCAGTACCGCACGTATGTGTCGCAGACGCATTACGATAGCGGTGATACGATGTGCACATCTGTATCGTATCTGATTGCATGTGCTGTGCTTGGGGATTACGGGATGTCACTCCCTCCGTCGCGCCAGCAGATGGACACTGTGATGAAGATATCCAGCATCCTGCATCGGAAGCTTGTGCATGAGAACAATTTCAAGCATCGTTTGTTTGCCTGCATGGATGTGGTAGATCTGGTGAAGCACCCTGAGAGCCTCGTGCTGCGAGAGGTGGTTGGCAGCACGCAACGTCTCCCGGAGGACTTCATCGGGACATTTCAAGATCAAAACGACGACGATTGCATCATCCTCGACATACACACCCTCGTCGATAGCATGGTTCCGAGATCCTCCATCGTGGTCACGGTGAACGAGCACAGCACGATGCTTCACCATGCAGAGGATGGCAGATTCTGGTACTTTGACCCATTGGTTGCCTATGTCATGTGCACTGGGGATCGTGGCAAGACACAGACCTTTGTCAAGGGCAGGCTGGGTGCGGTGGCAAGGGAGTACACAGGTGTTTATATCAAGCTCAAACCAACGCAATAAATCTCTACCCCCGAACCTGGGGTAGAAGGCAGAGCCCATGCGCCTCTATCTTCCATATGTTCTTGAGGTTGACGTCAATGCTCTTCCCCTCGAACGCCTTGGTGATGCAGGGGGCGTCTACCATGTAGTGCATCTCTACCTCCGCTTGCACTGTGGAGATATCCACCGCATTTTTGCAGTGGCTCCTGACGATCCCGCCGTTCCTGCAAACCAGGGATATGCCCCTCCTACCAAGGCATGATTCCACGAACGCGGATGCCTCGTCCTTCTCCTCGGGTGTCATCTCCGCTTGCAGCTCGTCCCTCAATTTTTGCATCATCACCTCGTTCTGGATGTAGACGCCGTGGTGCTTGGCCGTAAGCCTCCTGCTCTCTTCCGTCTGCACCGCGCGCTTCTCCAACAACTTCCTGCACACCTGATTCTCAAAGTGTCGGATGCTGACCTGCTTGGCATGCCGGAGTATCGATGCGCTCTGCTGCATCGCCACGTCATACCGCTTCATCCCGTGATCGTCATCGATGAACTGCCTGTTGACGGCATCGAAGTCCCTCTGCCACTGGAACGGTGTCTCGTTGCCCTCCATCTTCACCACCCGTGCGGAGAGGACCTCACCGTTGCCGGGAGTGGTGGGCATGTAGAGGGTGTCCAGGCAGTAGAGCAGGTTTCCCTTGCGGAACCGCATCTCGTGCCGCACAATCGACAACCCCTGCTTCTGCATGCTGGACATCACCGCGTTCACCGCCCTGGCCTGTGTCGACCAGTTGAGCTCGGAGGACACGTTCCCCCTCACCACGTTCCTCGCCGACACCCTGCAGTTGCCAAAGCGCGATGTGCCGTCCCATCCCGAACCCCTCTCGGATATCTTCTTCTGGCACTTGAAGACCAGGTTCTGATAGAGCGTCGAAGGCACTGCCTCGTCCAGGGCTTCCGCCTCTTCCTCTGGGGCGCTGTCCACATGCAGACCCTTGATGTGCTTGAGCATGGCCTCCCGCAATGGATGGCACTGCTCGAATATGGTGTTGTTGGCATGCAGGATGTTGCCGGCGTGCGCCTTGAAGGATTCCATGTCATCGCACTGCGGGATGGGTATGGGAACCTTGATCACCGCCGTGCCTAGGTTGGTCGTGATGGAGTTCTCCGTGCATGTGAGCCTGCAGCGCACGAGGGTGTGCAGGTCGGCAGGATGGATCTGGCGGCAGGTACCTGTGACGATGCCCTGAGATCTCGCACTGTTGATCACATGCACGACAGCCTCGCTCTCGAGCCTCCGGAGGCTGGATGCAGGGCCGGATTCTTGTAGGCGCAGAAGCTTCTTGGTAGACTGCTTCCAAGACATCGCACCAGAAACAACCGTCTGTCGCTATCGCATATACTCCTAAATACCTCCTTTGTCATTCTCCGACAGACCTCTTCTGGATTCATTCTGTATCTGACAGGTTGCTGTACTCGCTCGCTCCAAAGAGCCTTGCGGAGAATATCGCCACGATGAGCGCCGCTACGCCAAGCGCCGACACAGCCGCTACCCAGAGCAGGGAGATGTCCGAGCCGCGGAAGGATGCCAGCTTTGCATCGACTCTCACCCCGAGGTCCCGAACAAACAGGTTCATCCCCCACAGGCCAGAGATGTTCCCTCCCCCAACCACCTCGGCGCTGGCATCCGACAGTGCCGTCAGGATGTCGGGCATCTGCAGCGCCTGTGAATCGATGATGCACACCATCTCCACCGACACGGCCTGCACTGGGAGCGAGCGCCGCATGGGAAATGCGCTCACATCCGCTGTTCGCTCTTCGTCGAACACCCCCATCCTTTGCAGCCAGTCGGGAAACACATAGGGTGAGGATTGGCTGTCCCTGACAAGCACTGTCTGAACTGGGATGTAGTTGGCAGGGACGAGATTCTCGTAGATCTTTCTTGCGCTGTGCATGTAGATCCTCCACTCCCTGGCATACTGCGTGCTGTGAAGCTCTGAAAGTACCCTGCTGTTGACATTGAGCAAGCGGGATTTCAACACCGCCCGCTCGAATGCCGCCGACATCGTGGCGGATACGCCGTCCAGCCATCCCCCAACCAAGGGTGAGGACTGCATCGTCAGGTTGGTTGGGGCCACGTCTGCCTGCAGCGTGCGTGAGAGTTCGGTGCTGTTCATCAAGAGCCAGACCGTGAAGCCCACCGTCATCCCGGTCTCTCTAGGCACCTCGCAGGTAGACGGCATCCCCGACGATTGCGCATGCGGTGGGTATGCGTACAACCCTAGGTTGAAGAACCATTGGCACACCTTGCTGTTTCCTTCGTATCTTGCGAGCCAGAATGAATTCTCCGGCTTGGAGGCGTTCAATGCAACGCATTCGCGCACGTCTTCAAAGCTCCTTGTGATCAGAGTGTTGATATCCCGCAGGAGCACAGACTGGTACGGCACCCATACCATGTCTTGGAAGCCGCCGCTCTCTGTCGCAAACACGCCAACCAATCTCAGATCGATGAGGTAATTCCCGTACTCGTCCAGGCTCTCCGCCCCGTACTTCTGAGCTACGGTGTGCGAAAGCGTCAGTGTGAAGCTGCTGTAGTTGTATCTCACCCCCTCGGATGCCGCGATATCACCGAAGTTGCGCAGGTGCCGCACGACCGCGCCGTATTCGCTGCTGTTCCTTGCGCAGCTGGGTATACCAGCCGTCGACAGCTGCAGGGCGCTGTTCATGTATGCAGTCGTCAAGAGGAATTCCTCGATGCAACACCATCCCTCCACCGGTGCACACCAGGGCGCTACATCCGTGAGGAAGTTGTAGCTCGGGCCCGTCGCACCCCTCTGATCTAGCAGGAAAAGGGCAAAGTTGGCCCCGGGTTGGTCTGGGACGATGCTCACCGTCCAGGCCTGCGTGCTGGCATCGAAGCTGTTTGTGGTCGCCGCATGCAGCGTGGCTGTGCCGATGACGTCCACCCCTCCATGCACGGGCATGAAGCCCTGCGATTGCGACATGGGCAGTGCTGCTAGCAGCAGAAAAAGCAGCGCGAGCATCGATGCGCACCGCAACCCCCCTAGGGGCTTTATACACAGCAGATACGAAGGAGTGTGGTTTATACCGAACGTAAATGACGTACACCCTACTTCTTGCGATACTCAATGAGAAAGTATGCAAACCAGTCTCGCAGCAGCATGATTGGCAAGCCAAACTGCCCGCTGAGCTTGTAAATGGTCTGCACCACCACTGATTTCTGCACGGCAACACTCGTCTTCATCTTCGGGGGTTCGGGGATGGTGGAGTTGGGCGGTTGCCGATCATCAGCCTTCGAGATCTGTGGCCACAAGTAACCGATGATCAACATGAGCTCATTGAAGAGCTGCAAGGTGATCACACATGCCACCAGTGTCATGATGATGAGACGTGACGAATCGTCGATTTCATCTTGAGCATGTGCGGGGGGAATGACCTGTCGGTTGTTCCTTGAATTGCGCGTAGACACCGGCATGGATTGCACATGCAGGCAACGCTGTCTTATATAGTAATCAAACTCACTTGTGGTTCTTGATGTAGATAACGCGGTTCTTGCCCGCGACGGACGCCTGGAATCGTTTCATTGCAGACTGGTTCATCTGGTGTACGGCAATGGCCTTGTTTCCAAAACGCACAACATACCTCGAGTTTCCACCTTGCTTGATCCATCCCTCTAACTCGTGCTCGTATTGCAAATCGCACACGGAAACGATGGGATGGCAGTCCTGGTTGTAGAACGAGTGCGTCAGTGGTGGGGAGAGGGGGCAATTGAAGAATCCCTCGAAGTTCTCGATGGGTGGCAGTGCATATCTCGCGATCTCCCGCATCTCCTTGATCTCGTCTTGATCATACGAGACTTGCAGACCCTGCATCTTGTTGTCAGACGCTGAGCATACCTTGCCAACCGTGACACCCAGCAGTGAATTCCCGATAGGGATCACGTTGCCGACGCATGCCACCACGTGCCAGAACACGCCGTCTATCTTCCCCACGTGCAACCAGGGCTTCACATCCTTGGACGGCGCCATCATGTTTGTGCAGGTGTTCAGCAGGCCGCAGTCCTGCATGAGCTCTGCTTGTGATGAATCCATATCCGCTCCGAGGTTGCCCCCGACCTGGTGTTGCATCGGTCTGTTTGCAACCTCGATGCGGATCGGGGCGGTGAGCTCCGTCAGGATGTCACCGTATTCGGTGTTGTCCTTGCCCCGTACGATCATCGCCGCGCAATGCCCCATGACCTGGTTTGCCGCCCCTTGCTTCTGCACTTGCTCGACGTTGGCCGCCTTCGCGCTCATCAGCACCAGCTTCATCTTGGTGTCATAGATGTGATCGCCAAATTCCGCACACTGCCGCAGCGTGTCCTGTACCTGCTCGCGCTTCCATTCCTTCGCGAGGGGGTGATTGCAGATCGCCTCGAGTGCCTGTGAGCGGAAATCCTTTGCCGAGATCCGTTGGAAGCCGGGGTTGGCGTCATAGAATGAATCCGCTGAGCCAGACAGACGCCAGCACAGGCGCCGCAGAAGCTCGAACTGTGTCTTGGCAAAGTTGGCACAGTCCTCGCAGTCTCCCTTGTAGTAATCGTTGACGTAGCCCTTGCGAGCATCCGCTGATACACCCGAGAACAGATCGGAGAGGGTTGCGTTGGCCTGCCTGAGGTAGACGTCACTGAAGGGGATCATGATGTCCTCCGAGAGCTTGTACCCCGTCACGCCCTGCCTCTTCTGCACCGGGTGCACCTTGCTCACGAACTTACCGTTCTTGTCCTCGTAGATCTCCATCACCATGTCATCTACATCGCCGTTGATCACCGGCTTCATGTCCGAGGCATAGGTGTAGTTGCTGGAGAAGAGCGGTCCGACATTGACAAGGCACGCATTCGCGGCTGCGGCCGTGATCTTGTCCTTGGGGCAGAGCCCGGTGGTCTTGAACAGCGCCGCCGCCGTCCCGAAGACGTCGATGAGCGATGCCCGTGTGACAGAGATCTTCTCATCGATGATGGGGTCGAGGTTGGTCAGCATGTCCATCATGGTGTTGCAGATGCTGCTCACAAAGGTGCCGGCGAGGATCCCCTCGGGGTGAGGCTTCAGCCCTTGCTGGGCGATGGAACCGTAGAAGTTCTCCGCGATTTGCGCCTGCTTGCAGTTGTACTGGTTGATGCGCTCCTGCGGCATGGGGATCAGCTTGCTCTCCATCTCCGAAAGCCTCTTCAATGCCTTCGCGTTGATGCCTGCATACTGCTTCTGTAGATCCTTCGGAAGGGGTATGGTCTCCACCACTACGCAGATGTCAGGTTGAACGGGATCGAATGCGATGCCCATGAAGGGCGTGCGGGTGTTGTGCTGCAGGCCATCGATGGCCGCTCTCAGCGGCACACGGTTGGTCGTCATGTGGATGTCCTTGACCGCATGCACCCCGTTGTCCCCACTCACCACCTCGTTCATGCTGGGCCCTTTGGTGATTGCCATGAGCTGCAGGTGCTGGATCTCTGCGGTTGCAAGATCGGCTGCGAAAACAAAGGTGTCGGGTGCGATCTTAGCCATCGGGTGTGAGGCATGCCCATTGATCCAGCCCATGGCATGCTCTATGATGGAGAATTTCTCCTCCTTGTACGTGCAGTAGATGCGAAGCGCGCATATGAATGGGGTTTCCCCCGTTGGTTTTGGGTGGGTGTTGCTGACCGACAGCGCAATCCGTGCCGCCATTTGACTTGTGAGGCTTGTTTAGTTTTATATAGTGTGTTCAGTCATCGGTCTGTGGCAAAATCTACCTCGTTGCCCGGGCACCCACGCTTGCTATATAAATTTTATGCTTTGCTTGCTTGAAAATCATGAGTCAGCATGTTGTTTTGGATCCTCTACTGGATCGTTTGTCTGTTCTCCTTGGTGTCAGGAAGCAATGGGCATATGAGTTGATGTTTGGATTGAGATCGGATAGTGCATCAGAGTGGATGACTGCCGTGGAAGGCCTCAATTCTGAAAACACAATTGACTTCATCTCGTACAATGTATGCCCAGTCCTGGATCAGTTCACTCTTTGTGCGAGTGAGGTCAGTCTTGAGGACAAAGCGAAGTTCAATCGAGGGATGGACAGAGCCTCCATGATGACCCAGTTCCTTCTTTGCCGGTATCTGAAGCATGATGAGGATGTGGAGACCATCCTTGTAAATCGTCGATTGCTCACACAAACAAGCACTCGTCCCTGTAGTCGACCCACAATCCTCCAGATTCGTAATCATTCCCGTAGCGCTGTATGATCCTACCGGGCACCACTGCGGGGAGTTGTCAAAGGCCGTGCACTGAGAGCTGGCCGTGGCGGTGGTGACGCCGGTGGTCTTCTGGTCGGAGCATAGGGTGCAGTCTTTCAAGAGATAAAACACTGCGTTCTTGTTGTTCGCATTAGCAGCATTGGTACCACTTGTTGCAATCCATTGATATGCAGCCCCGCCACAATCACGGAATGAACCAACAGTACTATCATAATTACAAGAAGTCCAAGCATTTGTGTCTGCGAGGTAATCGGCCTCTGATCCATAGAGTTTGAAATGAAGATTCAGTTTGTTTCTATCACTTGCCCAACTGTAAAGCATATTCTTGGAGACACTCCAGTCCGCATCCACCGGCAAGATCCGCTTGTAGAAGATGAGCCAATGCGTCAAGGCACAGTCATAACAAACCCTCACAATCGTCCCATAGGTATTACTGGCAACAAGCTGCTGAAACGCAAGGTCCCAACTCGCAACCGGCGCGCTCGCAGCCCCATTGACGTCAGGGCTGATGCCCGGGAAGCCCTTGCTGGCGACAAGTTGAGGATAGAACGCATAGAGAGGATTCGGGTTGTAGCTGTTCTGGAGGCAGCCGGTGGGATAGTACAGTGGGAAATAATGCTGTTCCATATCAAACTGTGTAAATGGAAAGTCATAAACGCGAAAATCGTCAATATATCCATTGAAATCACGGTCAAGTGCTGGTCTATTGCCGATATAAAACTGTGGAGATGCACCAGTATTAGTTACTGGAGGACTGAAAGTTTGAGTACGTATTTTTTGTCCATTGATCCATATATTACACACTACTGTCGTATCACATGTTATAACCAAGAAGAACCATTGATTCTGCAGAGCATAATCATTGTTACTTGCAGAGATACTTACATATGAAGAACCCATATAACTCAAACCACCATACATATCATTATCTGTTCCAAGTTGCATCATATTAAATGTATTTGAACTATCTGTAAATTCAAACAAACGACCATACCCATATGCATCAGATGCCGCAAGAAAATTATACCAAAAGGATACTGTAAATCCGTTCTGTTTGAACAAAGAAAAAAAATCCAAAGATGCAGGAATGACTAATGCATACGAACCTCCCTGAAAACGAGCAGAACCTGAACCTCTTCTGCCAATGGAGTACACAGGTGCTGTAGACGGGACAGTTGCATGTCTTCCATTCCCAGAACTATCCTTGCCCAGATCACCCACATCCTCAAACTGGTAGCTGACCAACGGCTTATACTCCAGGCAATCATACACGGACGTCTTGCCGGTAGAATTCGTGGTGGTCATGTGGGGGCATCGAACGCAGTTGGTCGTCCCAGAGCCCGTGCCGGAGCCGTCATCGTAGTAGCCGATGTTACAGCTGGACTGCGCATCCACCCCAGCCACCAACCACGCGACAACCACAAGGGCACCCCACTTCAACCCGCAACCCATCCTAACGCAACTCCCACGCCCGCAACTGATATATGTGCAGCCCGCGGGGGGCCGGGGGGAATACACAGTGGTGACGATGGACACCGGGGAGCTGACGATGAAAGCAGCGACGAACGACTCAAAAAACGGGCGGGACCCCTTCGACGTCTCGATGGTGGGGAGGGCGCGGGGGGGCCTCCGGCTGCCTCTGCAGGGGGCTGTACAGAGGGGGGTCACAATGCAGCCAACCACGGCGATGGCCGCGCAGATGCAACTCAGGCAGGGCCCCAGGATGGCCCCGACGCCGGACAAGATCAGCGCGCCGAGCAGCAAGGACGGGGACTCCGTGGCGAGCGGGGCATCGACAGTGTGCCTCACGGAGGACTCGAAGCACCCGGAGATTGTGCGCACAGGGTATATCCTATCCCTGACTGCGGTGATCCTCACCGTATGCGTCCTCGAGAGCAAGGGGAATGTCTACGCGCTGAACCTTGCGATCCTGACGGCGCTCCCGCTGCTCTCGGCAACCGCGGTGCTGCACAGCTACTCGATGAACCGACTGCGGCTCTCGGTCCTCGCGGCGGTGGCGACAACCCTCTCTGCCTGGGCGGCGATATCCATCCTGGTCAATGACAACACGCTATCCCTGCTGAGACACATACCCGGGATGGCGCTGCTCAACGCCTTCTTCTACCTGATGTCGACGCGCTGGAGGCGAATCATCTCCGTCGTCTGCAGTGTCCTAATCCTCCTCTGCATCGCGATGAGCGCAATCATCGATGCCACCCTGCCATCGAAGCAGGTGATCGTACTCTTGACGATCCTGATCTTCTTCCTGCTCTTCGTGCAGAGCAACATCGCTGTCACACCTGGCCCATGCAAGAAGAGCGATGGCTGCAGCCTGGGGATGGTCTGACGCGATATAAACTGCACCGAGAGACTGTTTAGAATGGCTTACACTATCGCCTTTGCCGGGATCCAGGTGCTGGCGGCGATTGCGTTCATCATCGTGACGTCCAAGATCGTCGGCCCGACGCTCTTCTGGTACGACACGCACATACAGCAGCACACAATGGAGCAGTTTGCCATCGGAAATCTCTCCTACATCCTGATCCCCAATATGGACACGCGGGACCTCGTCGCCTCTATCGGCACGCCCTACAAGAACACGATCTTCTACATGAGGATGGAGCCGGTGTCCTTCAGCCTTGTCCCAGTGCTCCTCCTGACTGCCTACACCGTCCTGACACTCTTCAAGACACCGGAGAGCAAGCAGGCGCACAAGAAGATCAGCAATGACGACAGCTACACGCAGGAGACGATAGAAAAACCCTGGATTTTCAACTCAATTTCCAGTTGAGTTTCGACCTCGAAAAAAATCCTATACGTATAAATACGTTGCAAGTTTTTTCTTCCCGGCTTCTCTCCCATATCATTCTATACCTCCCCGCGACCCCTCGGCTCAAGAGGCTCATAACCTGTTTCCACGGGCCCGGACGGCCCGGACGGGCCTGGAGCTCGCCGGAGAGGCCCGGAATATGCCCAAAGGATGTCAATCAGGCCGATCCAAAGCAAAGAGACATAATCAGGACTTTTTGGAGAGATTTCCGATCAATTAGTACATGAACTGGTTTATAGGTAGAAAAACCCTGGATTTTCAACTCAATTTCCAGTTGAGTTTCGACCTCGAAAAAAATCCTATACGTATAAATACGTTGCAAGTTTTTTCTTCCCGGCATCTCTCCCACAGGTTTATAGGTAGAAAAACCCTGGATTTTCAACTCAATTTCCAGTTGAGTTTCGACCTCGAAAAAAATCCTATACGTATAATCACCATCACAGGGATACGTTGCAATCGAAACCGGGTTGTGAAATACCCTAAGCTATCTGCGATGCATGACAGGGAAACTGAGTTGGAGTAGATGGATGGAGATTACACACAAGACGACAGGGAATCATCATCCGACGGTGACTGGATTGTTCAAAAGCCGTACAGTCACCAGTGAGCTCAAGAACATATGTTTTCACGATGATGGCTGATAGGCTCGCAAGACATACAGTGCATTTTAGCAGTGGGCTGCTCGATTGCTTGAAACCACGATGATCCACAGCACTATCGAATGATAACAAGCAAGTCCAGTGGTTCGTGAAGGATTCTTCATCCGGTTTTCAAGGATGTGTAATGAGCCGCTGCCAAGCAGATGATACGGTCACAGCAAACACGAGCACTTTGAAGATGCTGATATTCCAGGCTGTACAGCATTTATGATGTGGCTACATGTCACATGCTTCTTGGTTAACACAAAAGTAACTTCGCCAGGCAAAAGATGGAACGTCGTCAGGATTACAAGGAGGTCGGTTGTGCTTTTACCCAGATTGAAACGCTTGTAATAAAGATATGATCACCTGAATGTGGAATTCTGTTTATTGATTCACAGTGTTTGTCGTTCGTTTACAATCATCGAGTGCTTGCTCTGTTGAACAAGGCACCCCTCTGTAGAGCCAAATGCGACAAGAACACTACTGTTGCATGGTAGCATTGCGAACTGTCCAAACAAGGCAGGATTGATTCGAAGAACATCTCATTTATTGATATCAGATTCATCTGCACATTGTTTCATTTCTAACTAGGTTTCTGCAGCGTTGTGGAAATGTCATGACAGAGGAAGAACTTAGTTGCAGTGCAGAAAAATCATCCAACGTCATGAAACATGGAAATGCAATTGTCAATGCACTTGATCATGGGTATAGTGATTCATGATCAACAACGATGATTCAAAGTCATCTATCCTGGCAGGTAAAGAAATCCTTTGTGCAAACGTCTCTTCATGCATCATTGAACGGTTGAGCATGTAAAGCTTTCTCTATAGAAAAGTGAGGTGCATGAATCCTGACCGTAAGACTAGAAGAATTCAAAGTGAGTGATGACATGAGAACACATATCTAGACAGCAAAGTCGCTTAAGGTACAGTTTGATATACAAATTTCTCACAAATCATGCATTTGAGCTCAACGTTCAACCTACGGCAATTTGAAAGAAGGGTCAATCAGAGTTGATTCTGTTCAATGGTGAATCTATCATTAGTTGCTTAGCTGTTCATGAAAATTTCATCTTGTCTTCAAAGAATATTTTCAAGTACACACGCGGATTGTTTGTACCTATGTCTCTTTGCTTTGGATCGGCCTGATTGACATCCTTTGGGCATATTCCGGGCCTCTCCGGCGAGCTCCAGGCCCCATGCCGTTTACTTTCAGGCCTTTCGTTAATTTGGCCCTGAAATTTTTCGGTAGAGTGTTTTTTTTTTATAGGCGTGCTATTTTGAGAAACGAGCCAGAAACCCCGCTTAATAGTACCCATACGTTTTAGTTTATTTCTACACTCCAATCTCCGGACACTTAGCCTCCTGGCGGGCCTCCAGGGGGTCTGAGGCGGGGCTGAAGGCTGCAGTCGGTCTACTGACGGGCCCGGCCGGCAGGATCCGTCGAGAAACAGGGGGGTCAAGGGAGGTTTTCTTCCCCCTGGGAGAAATGTCCTATGGGTTTTTGGATCTGCGATATAAAAAAGTCTTGTCTCGGTCACGTGATGTGTCACGTGACCGGTCAGGTGAGCCTGTCAGCCGGGTCACGGCCCCTGTCAGCCGGCTGACATGTCACGGGCCTGCTGACACGGTCCGCTGACCGGTCACGGCCGCCCGGAGAGATCAGGCCCCCGGCCAATCTCCGGACACTTAGCCTCCTGGCGGGCCTCCAGGGGGTCTGAGCATAGCGTTGCTTTTTCGGCCGGGCGCTCATAGGAAAAATTGGCAAGATTTTTTTTTTTTCGAAGGGCCTGTGGGGTCCCTTCATTTCATGCCATGTGGGAGTACCCTACTTTGAGAAGGCGTGTAGGAGGGTACTCGCTCTTAGGAAAATCGTTGCTGCGCAGGGCCAAAGAGGGGTAGGGTGATTTGAATTTGGTTGCTTGGACACCTCACCACGCCAAACCAAAGTAAAAGTACGAATTTTAGAAGTATCTGTGGTACCAACTTAATATTGCAGCGTTTATATGGTACAAAACGAGGGCCAAACTGGTCGGAACTTCGACTTCCAAGAACCCCTCCGTTTGACTTTCGTTGGGGGGTGGGGTGGGTATGGAGCACCCTCAACTACCCACCTTCGAACCAGTTTGAAACTCTGTGATAGGGGGTGGGGGGTAGCCCCCATTTCTCATTCCCCAAGCCCCCTCTCCCTGGACGAGCAAGAGGCGATGAAATGGTGCCTTCCTGACTCGCGAGGATGAACCTTGATATTGAGAGACTTCGAATCCAACCCAACTGAGATAGAAATGAGATGAAGATCTCATATCATACCTGTAAGAGATGATCGAGCTTCTTTCTCAACGAATCATCCATCGTGTACTGGAATATGCACCCTAATCAGGACTTTTTGGAGAGATTTCCGATCAATTAGTACATGAACTGGTTTATAGGTAGAAAAACCCTGGATTTTCAACTCAATTTCCAGTTGAGTTTCGACCTCGAAAAAAATCCTATACGTATAAATACGTTGCAAGTTTTTTCTTCCCGGCTTCTCTCCCATATCATTTTATACCTCCCCGCGACCCCTCGGCTCAAGCGCCACACTGGCATTTTGTCGGGAGGCTCATAACCTGTTTCCACGGGCCCGGACGGCCCGCACGGGCCTGGAGCTCGCCGGAGAGGCCCGGAATATGCCCAAAGGATGTCAATCAGGCCGATCCAAAGCAAAGAGACATAATCAGGACTTTTTGGAGAGATTTCCGTTCAATTACTCATAACGTCGCGGAGCCCCACTGCAAACATACCCCCAGATCCCCTCCCACCTTCCATCTGAGGTCATGGAGAGGCTCATTTGCCTCCATCTAGACTGATCTGATACCTCCTTGTGTCATCCGACTCATATATATACTCAGCGAGACGGGCCCGCAGGGCCCGCACTCATGAACGTCCCGGAGCCCCACTGCAAACATACCCCCAGATCCCCTCCCACCTTCCATCTGAGGTCATGGAGAGGCTCATTGGCCTCCATCATGCCATTTAGACTGATCTGATACCTCCTTGTGTCATCCGACTCATATTCGGGAAGAAAAAACTTGCAACGTATTTATACGTATAGGATTTTTTTCGAGGTCGAAACTCAACTGGAAATTGAGTTGAAAATCCTAATCAGCAAGAACTTTCGCTCCCGCAGCATCAAGAATTCATCGAATTGGTCGAATTGGTTGTCTTGAGGAGGCTCATCATCGCCAATGGCGGGAACAGTGCTGAAAGAGGGGAAACAGAATCTGGAAATGTCAACCGCGTCGGTTCAATTCTCAAATGAAAATGACTTATAGTTACGCTACGCAATTCAGCGCTTTCAAAAAAAACCGAAAAAAGGATCATTTCTAATGAAAGTCTACATTCTTCGTTCAAAGAAGTGTATTGCGTTTCTTGTATTTTGTTGTTCTGTGATGGTTTTGAACATATTTCACTTTACTTCCAAACAAAGACACCCTATCATGCAGGTCTTTGAAGCTCAGATGCAGCAGTGTGTACGCAAAAAACTTATCCTTCGAAGAAACTGTTTGCAAATTCCTAACGAGACACCTGAAAGGTTGCTACGAGATTTGTTGCCAATTAACCCCTCTCTGGTTTATGATGTTGGTGCAAATGTAGGACATTTCACCGTGATTGCAGGCGAGCTAGGTCACTCTGTTGTTTCTTTCGAAGCAAATCCCAAGACATGTAGCCAACTAAGGGAAAAAATCAATTCTCATAGACTAAAATCTGTGCAAGTGTACTGCGTTGCAGTAGGTAACAATAATTCCGAGGTCCAGGTTGACACGAGCAGTCTGGATAGCGCCAGTACAAGTGTAATCGCAGGAGACAGTTCTTCAGCTTCTGCTGAGGTTCAAATGGTAAAAATGAAAACTTTGGATTCTATCTCTATCAACCACACGATTTTTCTTTTGAAATCTGACACACAAGGATATGAGCTAGAGGTTCTCAAGGGCGCACTTAAGACGCTGCAAAGGTCTCGCCCGATAATTCTTGTCGAGCTGTCTTATTCTCTGTTGAACAAGATTGGAAACACTCGACCTTCAGCAGTTGCAAACTTTCTCTATGCTCATTTGGATTACCTGTGTACGTACTTGGCAGTGCATACAAAGATTTCGACAGCGAAATATGGGATCATCGAGGATTTCCAATTTTTGAGTGAGGAGTGCATTATTCCAACTTACATGATGGACAAACTACTGCTAAGACCTTACAACAAAGCAAACAATACTGGTTGGACTGATTTATTGTGTTTTGATCCGTTGAAATTAATTCATCTTGTGGAGTACGAGTCATCTCGACT